GGGGTACAGAACATAGTGTCAAATTCACATGGAATCCAGAGTATCTGGAGCCAGGGAGGCTGCTGACTCCCTGAAACTATCACCCTGAGATGATCTTTACACCTTAAAGGATCAATGCTCCTGAGCTCTCCTTCAAACCAAACAAAACTAAAACCAAACCACACCGATTCACAGCAACACTCAATCTCAACACAAGGAGCGCACGTCACCCGCTCAGAGCTAATGAGATTCAGCCAGGGGCCTCTGGGTGGTCTGACCACGGGGAAACCTCCTGGGTGGCCGCAGGAGGCTGGACGGCAGCTGAGAATCATCAGAGGCTCCGGGGTCAGAGCACCCAGCTTGGACCCGGACTCTGCATGCATCAGATCTCGGGTAGACGGTGCCTCGGTTTCTGCCACTGTAACACACAGACACCTGTGCCACGGATCTGGAGGGCATGTTGGGGACACCCAAGGAGCCAGGAGAACGTGCGTCACCCGGCACATTTCCACTTCGACTGCGGCTACTCATGGGTGCATCACAGCCCAGCCACTGAACTTCTGTCTTATGTCCGACCCTGATTGACGAGCAGTTCGAGACCAAGAGGTGTGTGATTCACTCACGAAGCCGATGACCGTGGGCAGGAGGTGACCGGCCCTGGGGAGGGGAGGCGCTGCTCACCTAGGGGAACCAGTCCACTGTCTTCTTTTCCCGCACACAGCCCGGCGGCGCCTTCTGTCCCGTCCTGACGTGCCCCGGTCTCTGGTGTCCGATTTGGGGGGCTTGTGGGTCCCTGAAACAAAAGACAACATTAGGGATTGAGAAATTCTGTATAACACCCACTAGTTTCCCTCCCTCCCTCCCCACCCAACCCCAACTTCCAGCAATCACCAAGTCCTACTGACGGCCTCAAAAGGCCCTGCCCCAGTCAGGTTTACTGGTCGGCTAGACCCGTGGAACCCAAGACTATGGTCCTTGGTCACCCATCGAATTCGGAACTGAACTCACCCTCATGGCTGAATTTTCAGCCGAACAATAGGTATGTACAAGGCTGAGTGAAAAACTATCCTCCCAAAGTTATATTACAACGCCCGTCCACGCCCACGGCTGATGACAACCTCGAACGCACACGTGAAATGATTCTGTCAGACACGTGACGGTGGATTATGTGGCAGATCATCTGCACACCAGCCATGGCTCTGCCTAGGAAATCGTCTACAGCAGACTTGGGTTTTGAAGAGTTTGTACCGGATGGATGCCGAAACAACTCACAGGAGAGCACAAACAGAAATGTTTGGACATCGGCAAACAAAACCTGGACCAAAACTCAAAGGCAAAAGTTGCTTTAAAAGAATTCGTTACTGGATTTGAGACATGGATTCATCACTATGAGCCTGAGAGTACACGGCAGAGTGTAGAATGCAAACATTCTCAATCGCTGACCAAGAAAAAGTTCAAAAGTCAACCATCAGCTGGAAAATTGATGCTTACAGTTTTCTGTGATTCTCAAGAGTCACTATTGGAACACTATCAGGAAAAAGGTTCAACAATCAATAGTGCTTGTTACAGTGAAATACTCATAGAAGAGCTGAAGTATAAATGCTATGCAAGGGCCTTGTGATCTTGCATGACAATGCACAACCGCACACCTCTGCCCACACTGTTGACACTCCTTTTGAGGTGTTCAAGAATCCTCCCTATAGCCCTGATCTTGCTCCAACAGACTTTCACCTGTTTGGTTCCCTGAAAGCAGCCCTTTGAGGACAAAGATTCACCTCTGATGAAGGAGTGAAGACAACCGTGTGTTCATGGCTCGCAGCTCAGCCTAAAACATTTTTTAATACGGGAATATGAACCTTGTTAACAGACGGACAAAGTGTCTTGAAAACCCAAGAGATTATGTTGGAAAATGATGTATGTGTCTTTTCTAAAAGTTGACTGAAATCAATTCTACAGCCAGAGTGCGGGTCATTTTTGACTCACCCTCGTATATAGGCAAACACTAGAGCTGCACAGCACAGAATTGCCCGCCAGCCATGAGGTGAAAAGGGCAGCATTTACCCATAGTCAAACTTCAGCAGGGTGAAGCAAGGAAGAGGAAGGGAAACAGAGTCTCGGGGAGGACAGTGTTAATGGGAACTGTAGTCACGGAGATGAACCCAAGTCTATGATCTGCTGACTGTAAAACGGGTCATCTGCTCTACGGCCCTCAAACCACAGTAAGAAGCTCTCTCTGCACCGCCACGATGGAGGGCTCACAGCTACCTGTGTGCGGGGCAGAACTGCTCCACAGCGTTTCCAATGGTTGTGACCTTCTCGCTGCCAAGGTGCCTCTCGGTGGACTCGAACCTCCATGCCTTTGCTGAGCAGCTGCACCACCTTACTTCCCACTGCCCTTGTGTCAACTCCACAGGGCCGGGCAGAGCTGCCCCTTGGGGTTTCCCAGCTTTATGGCAGCAGACTGTCTCACCGTTCTCCCAAAGAGCAGCTGGTGGGTTCGAACTGTGGACGCTAAGGTTAGCAGCCCAATGCTTAGCCCACAGCACCACCAGAACTCCCTTGCCTCCCCCAGAGACCCAGTGATGGCACTATTAACAAACATGTGGCTATGTAACACTCCGCGTCTGGGCCACCCGTGCGCACTCGGCAGGGTCTTCTGTGGCTGAGTTTTGGAAGCAGATTGCCAGCCCTTTCTTCCACCCTTCTAATCAGCACCACCCAGAGTCTCTCCCTCACTGAGCTTAACTAAGTCTTAAATTCTCACATTCACTTGTTGGGTGCAGCTGAGTGGTGCAAGCAGTTATATGCTTGGCTACTAGCCTACGTTGGCAGTTCAAACCTACCCAGAGTTTGGAAGACAGATCTAGGGAACTGCGTCTGAAAGATCCCAGCCTTGAAAACCAATGGGGCACAGCTCTACTCGGCACACGTTGGGGCGCCGGACAGGAGTCAGGGTGGGCTCAACGGCAAATGGCTTGGTTCTGGCTTTAGGAGTCCCTGGGTGAGGCAAATGCTTAACACACACACCCACTAACCCAAGGTTTAAATGTTCAAGTCCACCCATAGGCTTTCCAAGAAAGGCCCAGTGATCTACTTCTGAAAAGTCAACCAATGAAAACACTTTGGGGCTCAGTTCTCCTGAGACACACGTGGAGGGCAATGGGCTCGGGTTTTCACGTCAGAATCCCCGAGGGGTATGAATGGGTGAACACTCAGCGGCTAACCCAAAGGATGGAAGTTCAAGTCTACACAGAGGAGCCTCAAAAGTAAGGTCTGGCAATTCACATCCCAAAACGACACCACTGAAAACCCTAGGGAGGGCAGTTCTACTCTGACACACATGGGCCGCCATGAGTAGACGCTGACTCAAGTCAACTGGTTTGGTTTGGTGGAGGTGGGGGGCAGGGATCTGGGTTGGAGTCCCTGGATGGTGCAGTTAATTGCTCCCCAAAACACTGGTGGCTTGAACCCACCCAGAGGCTCCTTGGGAGAAAGGTCTGGATATCTGCTTCTGAAAGACCCTGTTGCTTGTTAGATGCCGCTGAGTTGGCTCCCACTCAGAGCAATTCTATGTACAATCCTATGTACAAGGGATGGAAACACCGCCCAGTCCTGAGCCATCCTCCCAACTGCTGCCGCCACTGTGCCAGTCCATCTCGCTGGGGGTCTTCCTCTTTTTCGCTGACCCTCCACTTGACCAAGTCATCCAACCAGAGAGGCTCATCTCCCCCCACTTTATCAGACTGTGTTCCACTGCTCCTCGTAAGGGTTTCAGTGGCTAAACATTCAGGAGTGGTCCACCTCTCCTTCTCCTAGTCTGTCAGTGTGACGCTCTGCTGAAAGTTGTCCACTGTGGGGGACCCTGCTAGCGTCACAAATGCCAATGGCCCAGCTTACAGCTTCCCAGCCAGCACAGTGGAGACCCCACGTAGGGGCACCAGGAGTTCGCTCACCCACAGCTCCTCCAGCAACACCACGGCCTCCTCCCCGCTGCGGGGCTGCCGGCCACGCACCCACGCCTGCACGTCAGGGGGCAGCGCGCCCAGGAACTGCTCCAGTACCAGCAGCTCCAACATCTGCTCCTTGGTGTGCACCTCGGGCCGCAGCCACTGGCGGCAAAGGGCACGTAGCAGGCCCAGAGCCTCGCGGGGGCCGGGTGCGTCACCCAGGTGGAAGTGACGGAAGCGACGCCACGGTGAGTCCGGGTCCAGGCCCTCAGCACTGCCCAGGTCCTCCTGCTTCACAGGCGGGAGCAACGGGGCCTCCATGGGTGCCGGCGTGTGGGCTGGAGTGGGAGCTTCCCAGTGGGGGGACAGCGGCACCTGTGGGGGCAAAGAGCAGCATGGTGAGAGCCAAGCATGCTGCAGCCCACCCCATCCCACAACCGACCACCACAGGATCGGAGCTGGACCACGGAGCCAGACACAGCCCACCGCCACAGGATCCGAGCCAGACCATGGAGCCAGACCACGGCCCACCACCACAGGATCAGAGCCAGACCATGGCCCACCGCCACAGGATCGGAGCCAGACCACAGCCTACCACCACAGGATCGGAGCCGGACCACGCCCCACCACCAACAGGATTGGAGCCGGAACACAGAACCAGACCACGGCCCACTGCCAACAGGATTGGAGCCGGACCACAGAACCAGACCACGGCCCACCACCAACAGGATCAGAGCCAGACCACGGCCCACTGCCACAGGATTGGAGCCAGACCACTGGACAATAAACCGTGCTGTGGAGTCCGTTCTGACTCACGGTGACCCTGTGTGCACCACAGTCGGGCTGTGCTCCGTAGGGTTCTCAGCGGCCGATGTCTCTAAAGATCGCTAAGCCTTCGGAGGCACCTCTGGGCACACATGAACCTGCAACTTTTCGGTGAACAGCTGAGTGCGTAACTGTTTGCCCCTCCCAGGGACACAACAATGGCAGGAACGGACACCCCGCACACTGCCACCCCATCCATTCTGGCTTGCCAACCCCATGAGTTAAAGGACCATGGTTCACAGTGGTGCTCAGCTGTTAACTGTGGGTTAGAACAGAGGTCAGAACCCACCCCTCAGCTCTGCTGGAGAAAAGACTTAGTGATCGCTTCCATAAAGATCAAAGCCTAGGAACCCTATGGGGCAGTTCCACTGTGACCAAGGCCGAAATGAGTCAGAATCGACTTGACGGCACCTAACATTAACAACAGATGCTGGATTAATACCCAAGGGTATGCCGAAGAAGACTGCTCTACGATCACTTTGTTGTTCTTGCTAAGCCATCGCTGAGTCAGTTCCGACTCACAGCAACCCTGTACGGGGTTTCCAAGGAGCAGATGGTAGGTTTGAATTGCCCAACTCGTGGTTCATAGTTCAGAGTTGACCCTACAAGAGCCACACTAGGAGTCCTATAAAATCATAGGAACCTGTATATTAAACAAAAATATCAAGATGTGAAACTATTATTTCTAAACATATCTTCCCCAGTTAGGTCAGCACACTGCTGGATGTAGTATTTCCATCTCTCACACCCTTCACTGAAGAATTCCAGGCTGGCGCTGTGGGTTAATGCGCTGGACTGCAAAATCAGTTTGAACCCCAAGGATCGGCGGTTCAAGCTCACCAGCCACTCCTAAGAAGCCCTATGCAAGGTCACTATGGGTCGGAACTGACTGACGGGCACTTAACAACAACACATTTATGTCACATCGAAATGACAATTTGGGCATCTCGGAAGAACTGTCCTGAGTGAAGAGTTTCTGATGAAACTTTCCCAGCTTTTTCTCATCAATGCAGTTTTTGATCTCCTGAATACGTCTTCCTAATAAATCTATCTAGATGACCCCTTCCGGGTCACAAAGTCAGGTCACCAGAACCTTCTGAGCTGACCCCTCTGCCTTGAATTGAATGGATCTAGCAGGTCCCCTTGGAAGTACCATTTTGGGGGTTTTTAAGGCACCCTAATGATGAGTCCTGGTGTGGCACTGTGGGTTAATACTGCAAGGTTGGGTGGAACCACAAGGTCTACAGTTGAAGCTTACGAGCTGCTCCTCGGACACCCTACACTGGGTCGTTACGGGTCAGAACCAACCCGACGACATTTAACAAGTCTAAGATAAGTGCGCTACTGAAACATGGCTGCAGCTACCTACTGATTGCAGAGGCACGCTCAAGCATACTGTTTAAGCCCCTGCATGTATGAACTGGGACCCCAGTAGCGGGACTCCTGCACTCAGCCACTGAAGGGTTAAGGGGCAGGCCACGGAGGCTTGCTTGGACGCTTTGCTCTGAGTGACCATTCACAGGTGACTTGCCCACTCTGAGCTTCATTTCCCCACCCCTGGGTTCGTAAATGGACAATCAACCATCGCGAACTTTATAGGGCACAGTTCTACTATGAAACACATGGGGATAACGTGAAGTGGAGTCAAGTCAGAGATAACTTCATAGGACAGAGGAGAACGGCCCCATAGTTTTCAAAACCACAATTTTTACAGGGAGTCTTGTAGGATCAGCACTGGACTGTGAACCGAAAGGTGAGAGGTTCTAACCCACCAGCCGCTTCTCAGAAACCCTACACAGGGTCAATACTAGTCAGAACGGTATGTTCTTGTTGTTAAGGGTCATCGAGTCAGTTCCAACTTCTAGCGACCCTGTATAGAGTGTGCGGAACCGCTGCTGACCCCCACAGCGCCACACCAGGAATACATGCAGGATTGCTGTGCGTCAGAACTCAATGACAATCTGTACAGAGGAGCCGTGGTGGTGCACTGGTTAAGCGCTTGGCTGTGAACCAAAAGGCTGGTAGTTCAAACCCACCAGCTGCTCTGGGGAGAGAGATGAGGCTGTGGGCGTCTATAAAGAATCGGAGCCTCAGGAATCCTATGGGGCAGTTCTACTCTACCCCATGGGGTTGCTTTGAGTCTAAATCAACTCAATGGCAGTGGGGTTTGTGGTTTTAAATCTCCACAGAGGCAGACTGCCAAACCTTTCTCCTGCTGAGTGGCTGGTCAGTTCAAACCACTGACCTTTCTTTTAGAAGCGCTTAACCACAGTGCTACCAGGGACACAGTGAAGGATCCCTGGCTGCACAGAGAGTTAAGCTCTGGGCTGCTAACCCAAAAGTTAGCAGTTCAAAGCCACCAGCTGCTCCATGAGACAAAGACAAGGCAGTTTGCTTCTGTAAAGATGGGCAGACTCAGAAACCTACAAAGCAGGTCTACTCCGCCGCGCAGGGCCGCTAAGAGTCTGGCAGCCGGTTTGTTCTGTTTGTCTCCCTGATGTTGCTGTGACGTGCCTGGCACAGTTTAGTGCCCGATGAAGCCTGGTCCATCCTCAGCACACACGTGGATGCTGGACAAGTCCACCTGTACCCTAGTGCAGCCGCCCTGGCCCCTACCCACCACACACCGGCTGTGACAACTGAAAATAAAACGACACATCGCCACATGTCCCCTTAGGATTGGGCAGGGGGATGCAAATCGCCTCTAGTTCCTTTCGCAAATATTTACTCAGCGCACAAGAGCTCAGAGCAAATCCCAGATCCTTGGGTAAGGTACGACTGCACCCGCGAGCAGAGTCCTGTGGTGGCGCGCTGTGCGAGAAACACTGGTGGGTTTGAACCACGAGGGGGGTGGTTCAAACCCACCAGCCACTCCTCGGACACCCTATACAGGGTCACTATGAGTCAGAAATAACGAATACCTAGGAGCAGGAATCAGCTAGACAGCACTCAGTAACAACCACATATGATTTCTCCATGTCCTAGGCTGTAAAAATGGGGCACAGTGAATGAACGCTTACACCACCTGCCTTAAGGCTGGTGGTTCAAACCTACCCAGAAGTGCCTTGGAAGAAAGACCTGGTGATCTGCTTCTGAAGACCTTGAAGATGCCCTGGAGCGAGCGCAGTTCTACTCTGTGCACACTGGGTCATCACCACTCAGCAGCAATGCCAAGCCAAGAATGGCAGTGAGAATGAAAAGGCAGACGCAAAACAAAAACGCTGAGGACCGTTCCTAGCAACCAGTAAGTGCTCAAGGCGCAGTGTTAGCTTTTCCTCCCATTGTTGGTCCCAGTTTCACGGCTAGTGTTAGGTACTGAAGGAAAGTAAAACCCGTAAAGGTGGCGTCCATGCCAACTCAGTCACCCTACAGGTGAGAGGAGAACTGCCCCATCGGGTCCCAGAGCCGTGTTACTTTATGGAAACACACTGCCTCATCTTTCTCCCCCAGAAGGGCTGGTGGCGCAGAGCGCAGAGCATTCCATCAGCAGCCACACATCAGTACCCACCAGGGCCCATGACTTCCTAAATAAGTACTTTTAAAGCGGCCACCAAGGGAATAATCAAAACAAAGTCCTGATTCTTATCCTCATGAATCTCTCACCTCAAAAGAGTAACTGAACTTGTAAAAAACAGTGCACACTATTCCTATAGCACACCTAACAATAAACCAGTTTCCGGTGATTCTTTTCCCACTCACAGTCACCCTGTAGGGCAGAGCGGAGTTACCCCCACAGGGTTCCCTAAATTGAAATCTTTTAGGTCTCCAGGTCTTTCTCGCATGGAGGTCCTGGGAGATTCCAATGGCCCACCTTTTCGTTAACCACCCACCTACCCAGCCAGGCCGTGGAGACCATCACAACTCATAGAGACCCTAAAGACAAGGTAGAACCATCCTCATAGGGTTTCCGAGGCTGTAAATCTTTACAGAAGTACACTGCCCCATCTTGTTCCTCCTGAACAGCTGGAGGATTCGATCCACCAACGTTCTAGTTAATAACCAAGCGCTTAACACTGAGTCACCAGGGCTCCCTACCTGCAGCATCGCTACCCTTGCCCTGAACCCCTTCCTGCAGACCTTTCCGATGGAGTCCTAGCCCCGTTCCCCGATTCCTGGTTGCGTCCAGTTTCTCACCACCCAGCTTCAATCCCGATCGCGGCCCCCTCCCCCTTCCCTTCCACTTCCTCTGCCCTCCTCCACTCCCCCCATCCCCCTCCCCCCGCCTCCAGCTGCTACCTCTCCCGCATTCCCTATCCCCGGGACCCCCCCCCCCAACTTCCTGACCCCCCCCCCATTCACTCCACTGTCCCCATCCCACTGCACCCCAGCCCCTCCCAACCCTCCCAACCCCTCCACCTCCTGCCCCCAAGCCCCTTCTCTCGCCCCTCCCTCACCCAGCCCCTTCCAGCTCCTCCTTCCTTTCCCCCCACTCGCTCACCTCACTCTCCCAGGCGAGGCCCCCAGCCCCCTCGCCTCCTCGCACATGCGCACAAAGT